CAAGGTGGGCACTGGGAGCCGTGTTGGTCTGAAGCGACAGAACAAAGTTTGAGTCCAGCGGCACCTTTAAGACCAACAAAGTTTCATTCAAGGTGTCCACTTTGGTGTGCAAGGCACACTTCGTCAGACGGTGAAATGGGATTACAGATCATAGTTGTGTTGTGTATATAGGGGTGTCTTGTTAAAATAGCATGCAAAATAGTGAAGTTGGTTTTTTTTAATAGATCCGCTTGTCACTCTTGATCTGTTAAAAAAAATACCTTCACTATTTTGCATGTTAATTTAACAAGGTAAAAGGTAAAGGTCTCCCTTGCTCGAAAGCCAGTTTAATCCGACTCTAGGGTTGTGTTACTCATCTCCGTTTCAAAGCCGAAGAGCCAGCACTGTCCGAAGACGTTTCCGTGGTCATGTGGCCAGGATGACTAAACACCAAGGCGCACGGAACGGTGTTACCTTCCCACCGAAGTGGTACCTATTTATCTACTTGCAGTTTCTTGCTTTCGAACTGCTAGGTTGGCAGGAGCTGGAACTAGAGACGGGAGCTCACTCCGTCATGCGGCAACTCGGGTCTTGAACTGCTGAACTACCGACCTTCCACAGCCTGCAGTTCAGCGTCTTAACCACTTGAGCCACCGCAGCTCGACAAGACACCCCTCTATATATACAACTACGATCTGTAATTCCATTTCATTGTCTGATGAAGTGTGCCTGCAGACAAAAACTCACACCTTGAATATAACTTTGTTAGTCTTAAAGGTGCCGCTGGACTCTAACTTACCTCACTGGGTTGTTACGATTCAGGTGGGTAGCCGTGTTCTGAAGCAGCCGAACAAAGTTTGAGTCCAGTGGCACCTTTCAGACCAAAAGGTATAAGCTTGCACACGAAAGCTTATACCTTGAATAAAACTTTGTTGTCCTGAAAGGTGCCGCTGGACTCAAACTTTGTTCACTGGGTTGTTGTGAGGGTAACATGGAGGGGGAAATCCCAAACTCTTCCACCTTTGACAGCCTATGGAGAAGAGATTGGATTCATACCCCGCCCTTCACTACCCGAAGGAGTCTCAGAGCACTTACAAACTCCTTTCCGTTCCCCTCCCCACAACAGACACCCTGTGAGGTATGTAGGGCTGAGAGAGCTCTGACAGAAACTGCTCTTTTTCAAGGACAGCTCTTATCAGAACTATGGCTTGCCCAAGGTCATCCAGCCAGGTGCAAGAATCAAACCCGGTTCTCCCAGATTAGAGTCCACGCATTTAACCACTACACCAAACTGGTGTATGATAGGAGAAGCCCTGATTCCCTGGGTCTTTCAATGACTGCTGGAGTTAATTGCCCAGGACAACTGAAGAAGATCAACGAGCTGACTGTAAGGTGTGGAAATTAAGTACTAGCACTTTACTATATTACTATATTTATGGTTTTTAAGAAGTGTTATTGTATTAACAGATGTTATATATTTAAACTATACTGTTGGAATTTTACTCTGTTTTTTATGTAAGCTGCCCTGAGCCGGCCTCGGCCGGGGTAAAAATCTAATAAATAAATAAAATAAAATAAAATAAAATATGCATTGAGTCTAGGGATCCTGTTGAGGTCAACCTTGTGCCTTTTGAGTACATTTCAATCCACGGTAACTTCCAATTTAATTTAAAAAAAACACAAGGAAGGCTATTCTTGAAAGAAATATGTAGTTTATGGCTTTAGTTTTACAACTCCTCGGTTGAAAACGGATATTGCTACAGCATAATAAAATGCTATAATAAAGATTAGGTGTCAAGTAATTCTGTTGATTCCAACCCCGTATTTAATCATTCAAATGGGACCATGGTATTGATGAAATGTCCACGATTACACAATGTGCACGATCACACAGTCAACATCTGCCTCCCGTCCCCAGCCGTCAGTTTCCGGCTCAAAACCGCTTTAACCCGGAGTATTTTGTTACCAAGTCCCAAAGTGGTGTTTTCTCAGCTCTCCCGTTTAAAGCTGCATTTTCCCCGTGAGATTGCTCGCTCCGGTGTCAAGCCACTTCCGGTTTAAACCCCCTCCCCGCTCGAAAGCTGCCCAAGGCTTCCGCTTTTCGCGCCCGCCATTTTTTTTAGCGTTGGCGGTGTGCGCATAGGCGGAGCTCCACTACCGTGTTTAGAAAACCGACATTTAAACATTCACTTGTTTTAGAGTTTAGATGACTTCAGTATCTCACGGAGGCCATTTTCGGGTCAAACGTTTAAAAGGAAGTCTTTTTGTTGGAGGGGTTGGACTGATTTGCCCTGGTGGTTCTGCGCATGCGCCATGGTAGTTTTGCCCCCCATTCTACGGATAAACGCCTATGCGCATGCGCAAACTGAGAAAACAAATTAAACCTCCGGCACACAGTAGTGTAGACGCCGGGGAGCAACGTGACTGCGAAGTGAGGCGGGGTTTTGAAGGCAGGAGACGTTCAGAGGTGATTTGCCATTGCCTGCTTCTGCATCCTGACCCTGGTATTCCTTGAGCATCTCCCATCCAAATACTAGCCAGGGCCGACCCCGCTTAGCTTCCAAGTTCTGATGAGATCGGGCTAGCCAGGTCAGGGCACTGGGAAATATATGTTATAGGGAAAAGACACTTTACAACAGGCTTGTTCAGCCTTGCGGCCACTTTTGGAATTTTGAGAAAGCAGCACAGCCACACAGCCTGTGGCCATAGAGGCAGGGGGTAATTGCAAATGGATGGGAGGTCCCAAGCCAAGCTCCCCTTCCCCCAAGCCCAGAGGCTAAGCCAAAGGCACATGGCTGTGATGTGTCAGTCCAGGATAACCTCTGGGCCTTGCCACCCACGTCAACTGGTAGGGAGTGGCTCAAAAGCCATGTGTTTGTTCCTTGTTCAAGACACTTTGCATTTCAAGTGGTTAAGACGCTGAACTGCAGGCTGTGGAAGGTCGGTAGTTCAGCAGTTCGAGACCGGGGTTGCCGCATGACGGAGTGGGCTCCCGTCTCTAGTTCCAGCTTCTGCCAACCTAGCAGTTCGAAAGCAAGAAATTGCAAGTAGATAAATAGGTGCCACTCCGGTGGGAAGGTCACAGCGTTCCATGCGCCTTGGTGTTTAGTCATGCCGGCCACATGACCACGGAAATGTCTTCGGGCAGCGCTGGCTCTTCGGCTTTGAAACGGAGATGAGCACCGCAACCCTAGAGTCGGACTCGACTGGCTTTCAAGCAAGGGAACCTTTACCTTTTATACCAGCAGCAAAGGAGGCACCAAGACATTGGTAAGCCCCATGGCGCCCCCTGCTTTACAGATCTAGGCACACGGCTTGAGAGAAGCTGGATTGCCATCTAGCTGAGACCAGCCTCTTAGAACCCAATCCAGGAGTGCCGGTCTGTACACATAACAGAAGAGGGCTGCTATTATGCCACATTCAGATGTTCACGTAGGAATATGTGGCTACTGATGTCATTCCTTGTGTGAACTGAACGGGTTGGGATGCCTCTGGTTTCAAATTTAACGTTAAAGAGCCTGCTGGATCAGACCAGCGGTCCATCGAGTCCAGCACCGTTTCACAGTGGCCTACAGGTTGCCCTGGAGAGCCAGTGGACGGGGCACGGAGGCCAAGGCCTTTCACTCATGTTGCGTCTAGGTTTTAGAAATTTACTGCCTCTGAAGAAGGAAGCACACCCTGTAGCCACCATGGCCAGTAGCCACGGATGGGCCTCTCCTCCATGAATCTGTCCAACCCCTTTTAAAGCCTTCTGTACTCACAGCCATCCCTTAGAATCATAGAATGTTAGAGTTGGAAGGGACCTTGCAGGTCATCTAGTCCAACCCCCTGCACTCGTCCACTGAACCTCCACATGCATTCACCAACTGGCCATTCTGCTATCCAGAGGCTACTGGATTAGAGGTCATGGATCCAGTTTGGTGTAATGGGTTAAGAGCTATGGACTCTAATATGGAGAACCAGGTTTGTTTCCCCATGAATCCAAATGGGTGACCTTGGGTCCGTCACAAGTTCTCAGAGCTGTTCTCTCAAGAGCAGTTCTGTCAGAGCTCTCTCAGCCCCACCTACCACACAGGGGTGTCTGTTACGGGGAGAGGAGGGGAAGGAGATTGTAAGACAGTCTGAGACTCCGAGTGAAGGGCAGGGTATAAGAAGAGAAGAAGAGATTGGATTTATACCCCGCCCTTCACTCGGAGTCTCAGAGTGGCTTACAAACTCCTTTCCCTTCCCCTCCCCACAACAGACACCCTGTGAGGTAGGTGGGGCAGAGAGACCTCTGACAGAAACTGCTCTTTTTCAAGAACAGCTCTTATCAGAACTATGGCTTGCCCAAGGTCATCCAGCAGGTGCAAGTGGAGGAGTGGGGAATCAAAACCGGTTCTCCCAGATTAGAATCCGCACACTTAACCACTACACCAAACTGGCTCTCTTCTTCTTCATTCAGCCAGGGGTGACTCTGCTAGGGAACTGTGTGCGATGTGACCTATTATCTACCTATGTGGGAATATAGTCTATCAGCCAAGACTGCGCGTACGCTGAGAGCAGGAGTCAAGCAGTTCCGAACAGGACAGAACACCCCACCTACCCCACAGGGTGTCTGTTGTGGGGAGGGGGAAGGGAAAGGAGTCTGTAAGCCACTCTGAAACTCCTTTGGATTTATACCCCGCCCTTCACTACCCAATCTCCTCTTCTTCTTCTTCTTCAAATAGCTAGATATTATAGTTGCAAAGGTGTGTTAATGCTTACTGGAATCACAGAATAGAGAAGTAGCCAAGACTTAAGCTATGCCCTTGTCAAAGTTAGAACTACGTAAAATCGGAAATGATGAGAGTCGATACTACTTGCATATTCTGTACCCATTTTCTTGGATACAAAATTTTGGCTATCCAAGTCCATCCCCCGCCCTCAGCTTGGAACACACACTGAGGTACCGATTACATGGCCATTTACCATGGATGAAACTACTGGGGCGTTTAAGCGTGAAAGAAAAATTTAACACATCCAATGTAACACACGTTGATCAAAGTGGTATTTAATGCTAAGCAGGTAAGAGTGGTAATCTAACATTATGGAGCTAACAAAATTGCGACCGTTCAGCCATAGCCACCAAATAAGACATTTCTCATGCATATGACAAATTCGTTTTATGTACTGAGGACTGTTTCCTGGGTACAGTTATTTCCACAAGTTACATTTTCCACAGCCTCTCCCATTTGAGAATAATTCAAAACTGATTATATATTCCGTATATGCAAACTATTTTATATACACACGAATATAAAGATTCCCTTAAGAGTACCGCCGGGACTACACCCTTGAACTTTCTGTAAAATGCATAGCTTTCTTTCATACCATTTTAAATATTTCTCTCTGTTACCGCACCAAAAAAAAAAAAATCTCTATAGGTTAAAGCTGCTTCAGTGTGTGATGTGTTACAAAACCCAAATGAAATCGTACACCTAACATAACGTTATGTTTAAACCCTTGGGGGGGGGGACCCCCCCACACACACATATTTGGCTTGGAAGTTAATGAATTAAACGCGATAGTGAAAAGTTCCAGTTATTTGTGCATTCATGGAATCAGCGTAGCGCTCTGAACATACAGGAACCCTCTGAAGTGGGGCTGTACACCAGCAAGGAAAAATGTCACAAATACACGTCCTGTTCGGTTTTATGCAAGAAAGCTGAACTCTGAAGCTTTTTTTTTTTTTAACAAGCTTCAGACTGCATGTTGCAGCCAAGAATGGAGGGGGAAAAGACAGTTATATACCCGACACTGTTGTACTTCTACAGCCTATACGACTGCTTTTCCCCCAAAATCATGCTGCCTGCAAGCAATAAGTATTCAACGGTACTCCAAAAGACCATAGGTTTCGCAAGAAGACGATGCTTTTTCCTGGTTGGAGGAGCCCTTCCTAGAGGGCGAAAAGCTTCCCGGGGGGGGCTCCTATCACTGGAGAAAAATATTGCTACATGGATCTGCCAGATCCAACCCAACCCCTCAGCAACAACCCCCCCCTCCAATCTGTGTCCATTTCCCTGAAGCCTGCACGAAAACCCATTTCTGTATGATTATGCCCAAAGTTTAATATTCAAACCCAGGCAGCTAGAAGTAGTTCTGCGGGGGCTTCCGAGGCAGAATATATAATGGCTACCGCCTTCACTGTGCGAGTCACATCAGCAGCTCCTAAATGTATCATTGGAATTAACAAGATTTGCAGGGACGGCACAGAGTAGAGAATATGCACATCCCAGAGCTGCCGGGCAGCCATTCTTATTACTTTCTTCTGCCGTCCTGGTCAGTTGTCCCAACAGTTCTGCAAAATAAAAGTTGGGCATTTGGGACGGCAGTCTTGCAGCTAGCGGGCGGTGACACCGAAGACCACCCAGCCAGTATGTCATGCTTTTAAGGTGGCGGCCGTACGTGCTTTTGAGGGTATGGGATGCTACGCAAAGACATGACCAATGCGGCATCTGAATCCAGAGAGCTTCCATGGAACTAAAGCCTAGTTTAGGCATTCAGCAGTTTGAAGCGGCAGGAGGCTGCACGGATGGCGCTACTGCAGACAGCGGATCCCAGTTTCCAAATGCTGCTTTACAACAACAACAAAAATGCATTCCATGAAAACTGAAAACACAGGTTTTTTTGAGGGGGGGTTCTACCTCCTCCCATTTTCTTTCTGGTATGATTTTTCTATTTGCAGAGCATTAAATTAAAAAAAAAAGCTAGGAAAAGATTCCAAAACTTGATCCTCCACCTGTGGTCTGACATGGTATATAGCCCATTCTGCCACCTAACACACCTCATACTGTGGCACATTTAACTCAGGCTGTCAGGGAGGCAAGCCAGCCCTACAAACATCACCGTAATCACATCAGAATAAAATAGGAATTCAGGAAGAGGTCTGTAAAACCTAAAGCTCCGTTTTACCAGAGAGAAGTAAAAGTTACTCCCCCGCTAGAGCCAAAAGGAATGCCGTGCTTTTCTAGAGGATCGGCACTGAGAATGTTTCCAACAGCTTAACACACACTTGCTGTTTTTAATGCTGCAGCTGCCATCTTCACCCATACAATGACTGCAACTGGAATCAAACTAAAAGTGGCGAAAAGAAAACCTAATTCTGGAGTCTTGTTTCAGGGGCTATTTTGGTCAGCCTTGAAAATTACCGGGGGACGGGGGGGGGGGGGGGCACACACGACCCACCACCTTTGTCAGCAATACTTGAGAGAACTAGGCCCATCATTAACATTCATCCCCATATATAAATAAGTCACCAAGGTGTGAAAAGCAGGAGCAGGGGGGAGGTTACCTTCTATCACAGCATACAAGCTTTCTACGCTATATATCCTATGCAGAAAACAATCGCTGCCGTGAGGTTTCACAAAAAGATCACTCGACCGACCGCTAAAGTCTTTAAATAGGGAATGCTCGTCTGGCTATAAATTAACACAGAGAAAAGAGTCATTGTTGCAAGTGAGAAGACAAGGTTAAATTGAACTGGAGAGTCGCCTAGAGCGTCAACATTAATTCGCAGGCCACCAAAGTGAGCTTGGTAGCCAGCCATTACAAACCTTCAGCACAGTATATATATATATATATTTTTAAAAAGAGAGAGCGCGCGCCATGTTTTGTTTCTGCTAAGAATGTATGACAGTGCATAGCCTAAGTCAGATGGTCAAAGTGACACGATGCTTTTTCCCCCAATGCTTGCTTGCTGCATTTAAAAAGGGACCCGCCTCCCTTTGAGTATGCTTGCCAAGAAACAAAACAAAACAAAAAAGAAACCCCACACACAACCAAACTGCGAAGTCCTGAACTGTAGTAAAAATATTTCAGTCACAGACTGATTAAAAATGTATATAACTGTGCAGTTCCGAGGGTTGAGTGTCCACCTGCACACGCTCTACTTGGGCTCCTCAATCGTCCCCTTGCTGAGGTCTGTCATTTTGGGATATTTTACTTTCTTCTGGTCCAGCTCGTTCTGAGCCCACAGTAGTAGCTTCAGTAATTTCGCCAGCTTGGGTGTCGATTCACGGTTTTCGTAGTCTAGAACAGCCTGGTTCACTTCGCTCCACACCTAGAAAAGAAAAACTCGGGTCAGTACTGGGCACGTTTATCGAGAAGGGCCAGAATGATTCAGGAAGACCACCCAAGGTTCTGACACCTTACTGGTTATGGCGGCTTCAAGACAGCAGCTTAAAGTAGATGGTAACAGCCAAGAAGTGCTTCAGAAAAAGATCCCAATAAAGGAAAACTGTATCCTGACTGCGCTCAATTGATTTTTAAATATTAAAGTGAACAGAACACAAACATTACTCGTGAAGCACAAAATACATAAGATGAGTACAAAATATATACAGGTATTAAACAGTTATTTAGTTGTTGTACTGGTTGTTAACGATGATCTCCGGAATGTCCAACCGTTTCGAAAGATATCTTCTTCCGAACAGATGAAGGAAAATGAACCTTGTAGAACAACATTGATAACAATACTGATGCAACCAATACAACAACTAAATGCAACCAATATCTGTATATATTTTGTACTCGTCTTATGTATTTTGTGCTTCACGAATAATTTTTGCGTTCTGTTCACTTTCATATTTAAAAATCAATTGAGCGCAGTCAGGATACAGTTTTCCTTTATTGGGATCTTTTTCTGAGGCTTCAAGAGAGTACCTGATCTTCAAGTCCCCACCTGCGAAATGGCATTGTTAATAGCCATGCTGTTGTGTGGATTACAGAACACCGTACAGCACTTTGCAGATACAGGGTTAGACCCAGACCGAATGTTCTGACAGAGGGACAGAACCTTCCTGCCTTTCCGGCTCCCACGGCAGCCCACCGGTGTCCACGGAATGCTGCTCCTGGGGGTAGGGGACCCCAAAGAATGACACGAGAGGGGTCTTCTGCAGGAAGCGGGATGTGGTGCTAGGTGCAAATTTAATCTGGATCTAACCCAAAGACTTGCATCCTACAGTCCGTGTCTGCTCAGAGAACGGCACCTCTGCTTGTGGAGGCCATTCCTACTAATCTCTCCAACCCCTTCTGAACACCACTACTTTCCCCCACGTTATTTTTGTGAAGGTCCCTAATTCCTGGGGAAGAGGGGAAATCCCATTCCATGAGTTCTTCTTAAATCTTGCAGCCCTTTTATACATTTCTGATAGTTGCTTATAAAGATCTGGGCACAGAACGTAGTGAGCTAACTAACAAAAGCCGCTAACAAACTGTCAGGAAAGGGCAGTTTTAGCACAATCTCAATGTATTATGAATTAAGGTAAAAAGCAGAATTCTGAACATCGACTCTATTTGTTGTTGTTCAGTCGCACAGTCGAGTCCAACTCTTCGCGACCCCATGGACCAGACCACACCAGGCCTTCCGGTCTTCCGCCATCCTCTGAAGTTTGCTCAACTCTATTTAGAGGTATGGAAAGAACTGGAGAACCTTCTCCAGCAGATTCCTGAACTGTACCCTCGAGCCTCGGTATTACTTGTGGGCGACTTTAATGCCCGCATTGGTCAAAATGATGAAATACTTTTAGATAAGGGATTGACGGAAACGCTGAATGAGGTATCCTATTCCCACTTATTTAGGAGACGTTCTAAAGATACTAAAGTAAATGCTGCTGGGGGAAAGTGGTTTAACTGCACAGTGAACTATGGCTGGTGATCTTACATGGCCTTGCAGACTTAGGTCCCCTTGGCGATTTTACTCATGTGACACATAGGGGCACCAGTGTTATTGAGTACGCTTTGGTCTCAGTAGGTTTTCTATCGCAGATACACGAGTTTAAGGTAGATGAGTATCAGGGTCGGGGTCACTTCCCTTTGAATTTGAGTATTTTTATGCCCACTGTGACGCCGATTGGTTTATTTATTTATTTTTATAACAACATACAATGATTGATACAACATAACAAGAGTATACAGACAGAATGGCATACATTAGGAACCTTTTTAGATAGGACAGTCAATACATATTATACTAAGTAAGTTAGGGAGATATTGTTTCATAGACAGCATTGTGATATCTGGATAGTAGGCATATTGGGTGTTACCGTAGTTATGAGTGTTAGGGTAGTGTTGTTGATGTTAACAAAAGGCCTGAATATCTTTGTTATGCTGTGTAAGTGGTTCACAGTGTGATCGAGCTCTGACATGGCTGAGTTAGAGCGAGTTTTAAAGAGTTAGCCATGTTCCCTCTAAGCTGTGGAATCTTGTGAGCAAAAGTTCTACTTCGTGAGCTACTGGCATCAAAGTTGTGAGCAAGTGATTTGGCTGCTGCATCAATTAGTTTGCTCTGGAGACATTCTTCCTGAGCTATGACAAAAATGTGTGAGCCGGAGGCTAAAACACTGTGAGCTAGCTCACACTAACTCAGCTTAGAGGGAACACTGTAGGATTGGCTGGGAGTATGTCATGGGTGAGCATATAAGAAAAGACTGGGTACCAGGTTATCTCGAACTTAGAGGAGTGCGTAGCATTTCTTTGAGACCTGTGGATTGAGTCTGTTATTTGTGACATCGACTGTAACAATATCTCAGCCCTTACAAAGATTGTGAGCTCTGAGACCGATGAAGTGGACGTTGGACTCCAGCATCCATAGCAACAACTATTATGAATTTTGAGGACTGTAGCTTTTTTTATTAGGGAGTTTTTTATGCAGAAAGATACAGGGGCATGCTTAACCAATTAACAAGCCTCTTTGACCTTTTAGAATAAGTTTATGTTAAGATTTTCTCTCACCATAGATTTGATTGCAGAAATAAGTGTTTGATAGGGAATGTTGAGACCTCATCAAGATGTATAAGGGCCAGACTATGGTTGTTTAGAAATACTAAGCTTCAGAATCACTTAGTAGATTTTATTTCTTTAAAAAGACCATTTAGGATAATGACTAAATGCAAAAAATGGGTAGCTCAGCAAAAAGAGTGGGAGATGTTAATTACGGCCACCTGTAGTAACAATTCACAAGCCTTTTGGAAAGTTGTTAATAGGGGCTTATCCACAAACTCTAATTTTTCAGAGTATATTACACCTGCAACTTGGGAGAAGTATTTTAGAGACACACCTAGTTTTGATTCTCAAACTGTGCAAATTGACACACACACCCAAACTGATTTGGGGTCCTCGGTCTCTCCAGAGACTGTGAACCAACTAATCCGACGAATGCATTTGGGAAAAGCACCTGGACCGGACTTGGTTCCAATTGATTTATTGAAATTAAATTCGGTTTGGTGGAGCAATATTCTGGCTCCTTTATTTATCCAAATTAACAAAACAGGGGTTATCCCAGCTTCACGGTAATACATGATAATTGGTCTGATACATAAAAAGGCCTAAAAAATGATCCAGCTAATTATCACCCAATTAGTCTGGTTACATATATATAGTAAAATATATGCAGACTTCGTTCACTCTGAGTCACTGACTTGGCTGGAAACTGACAAGGTTCTTTATCCTGGGCAAGCAGGTTTTAGAAAAGGTGTTTCTTCTTTGGATCACTGCCTTGTACTCGATCCTTTAGCCAAGAAATATTCATCTAAAGCTGGTAACTGTCTTTATGCTGCATTTATGGACCAAAAAGCCACCTTTGATTCTGTACCTAGATCTCATTTGTGGATCAAATTAAATTAGTGGCGGCTCCATGCTGGTGGAATGAGCTCCCGGAGGAGATCAGGGCCCTGCGGGACCTTTTACAGTTCCGCAGGGCCTGTAAGACGGAGCTCTTCCGCCAGGCTTTCGATTACGAGCTGCCTTAAACACAAAGGAGCGACCCTGTGCCCTGGTTCTCCCACCCTCAGTCTATTTCGCAGTCAGTCAGTCAATCTCGCCGCATAAATTATGCGATCAGATTGAGCATACCACCAGGACCAATACCTAAGTAGTGATACGGTTGGTTTTAGGAACTTCCGCTCTGCACTTTAATTGTTTCCGGCACTTCGAAAATGGTTTCTGATTGTTCTTGGATGCTTTATGAATGTTTATAATTGTATTTATATACATTTTATGTAAGCCACCCTGAGCCCGCTTTGGCAGGAAGGGCAGGGTATAAATCAAACTAATCAAATCAAATAAAATAAATCCTCAAAAAGTAAAAGGCTTTTATGGCTTATTTTAAAACTATATAAAGAGCCGTCCACACAGATGCGCTACAGCCCGGAGGGCCAGCTTACAAATCCTATTCATTTTGTGAAAGGGGTAAAACAAGGATGTTTATTGGCCCTCATGCTTTTTAATTTTTACTTAAATGATACGATGCCTTATATTTTTTAAAAGTACGCTTTACGTGCACTTATATTAGCTGGCCAAGAAATTCCTGTGCTGCTTTATGTGGATGATGCAGTTTCGTTAGCAAGATCCGAAGGTGACCTTCGGAAAACAGTTAACGCTTTCACCGAGGACTGTAAACAAGACGGGCTCTCGGTAAATCAAAAATTATGGCCTTTGCTAAAAAGTTAAGCCAAAATCAGAAAGCGTGATGGTACGATACAACTTACGACCCAATTTAAATACCTGGGAGTGACTTTCAGTCACAATTTATCATGGAAATTGCATCCTAAACTATCCCAAGACATCGCTAGGCCAAACATCGATGGACTTCTCAGGTTCTATTTCTCAATGGGTGGTCAATTTATACCAATGGCTATTGGAGCTTTCAATGCAAAAATAATACCCCCGTTTTTATATAAGGCAGCCATCTGGATAACTGAAGCTTCCAAACGTATAGATGAAATACTGATCCAGTTTATACGCTGGATACTCAGAGCCCCCAGATGCATGGCAGGAACGGTGCTTAGGTGGGAGCTAGCGCAATGCTCTGTCAAACTAAGAGCATGGCTGGCTGATTCTGAACTAAAACTGAAGATTTTCTTCTCTACTCCCATCGTCTAGGGGCCTCTTACACCTACTGAAGAAGGATTAACTATAGGAATGGTTGGGTTGATAGATAAGAAGTTGGAATGGCTTGGTCCCCACCTCTTGATGCTTCATAGTATAACTGATTAGATCCAAGGCATTTAATTGGGATAGAGCTAGTACAGCTGCACAACCCAGGTGTGTTTGCTCTCCTCTCGCTCTAGGCACCCCTCCTTTGTTAACTCTTCCTGCATAGCTTCTTCTCTTCTCACAGGTATGCATGCCGCCCTGAGCCCATGTGGAAGGGCGGGATATAAGTCTAATAAATAAATAAATAAATAAATTTACTCTTGCGAGGTGAACTGCCTTTTCATCTGCGGAGCTAACAGGACGTTTTGCACAAATTTCCTATTCAGACAGGCTATGTGCTTCGTTCCCAATGATCAGCTCTTAGGTCTTATTGAATTCATCCGATTCTGTCTAAAAACCATCTTCCATTGGAGTCATGGGTGATTTCTTTTTTACTGGCGGACACTGTTCCTGAAATAACTGTTTCAGTAGCGACGAATCTGGCAATTATATTTTCCTTGAAAAGTACATAATCTTGTTATAATGGAGAGGGTCTCCATTGGTGTAGTGGTTAAGTGTGCGGACTCTAACCCGGGAGAACCGGGCTTGATTCCCCCACTCCTCCACTTGCACCTGGCTGGATGACCTTGGGCAAGCCGGAGTTCTGATAAGAGCTATTCTTGAAAAAGAGCCGTTTCTGTCAAGAACTCTCTCAGCCCCACCTACCTCACAGGGTGTCTGTTGTGGGGAGGGGAAGGGAAAGGAGTCTGTAAGTCGCTCTGAGACTCCTTTGGGTAGTGAAGGGCAGGGTATAAAGCCAATCTCTTCTTCTTCTCTTCTTCATTGCTAAACTCTGGATTTAAACCCTTTTCAGATTTTAATACTGGATTTTAAATTTAAGGCTTTACTATTTACTTGTATTTCTTTTAAAAGTTTTAAACCTAACTTTTATCATCTATTTTATAGAGACAGTTTTGTAATAACTTTAGAAATTCCCAGGCATTATACCTGTCGAATTTACACTTGTAATCTGTCTAATTACGCTTGACCTCCGGTCATATAAACTGAATAAACTGACTGACTTTAAATAAAGACAAAAATTGAAAAGACTCCTTGGGGGGGGGGGGGGACAGGACTGATGCGATATGAAATTTTAGCTGATACGAGGAGCAGGACACTTACTTTCTGCCTCTGCATCATGTTGAGCAGGTCTCCAAAGGGCGACTCCTCGGGGTTATCGAAAGCAAGCAGAGCCAGAGTGCGTTCCATCTCCGTCAGGCATTCTCTGCTCTCCTCCCCTTGTTCTGCTAGCTGCGTCTGAGCAAACTCAAGGGCGGCTTCTGTCTCCCGTTGCCGAATCAACTCGATTAAATGCTGCTGCTACACAAGCCAAAAAAAAAGAAGAAGTGAGCAGAAAACAGTGAAGAAAACAGTGTGTCAAGTTCTTTGTGCATTATTTATTTAATTTATACTCCCGCCCTCCCCGCCGAAGCAGGCTCAAAATACATTAATACTTTCAAACGGGATGGGTAACTGTGTTAGCCTGTCTGTAGCAGCAGAAAAGAGCAAGAGTCCCATAGCACCTTAAAGACTAACGAAATTTGTGGCAGGGAGTGAGCTTTCGTGAGTCACTGCGTGAGAAGTATGAACAAAAGTTCATACCCCTGCCACAAATGTTGTTAGCCTTCATGGTGCAACTGGACTCTTGTTCTTTTCTACGACTTTCAAACAATGTCTGCTGAGCACTCCAGTTGTTTTGAAAAAAGGAGAGGTTAATAACGACCCGGACCTACATGCGGAGGAGGATTTCAAGCACCGTTATTTCATCCAAGCACTATTCCTCAAGGTCTGGGTTGCTTGGTGCCAGTTTGGTGTAGTGGTTAAGTGTGTGGACTCTAATCTGGGAGAACCGGGTTTGACTCCTCACCCCTCCACTTGCAGCTGCTGGATGACCTTGGGCAAGCCATAGTTCTGTCTGAGCTGTCTCTCAGTCCCACCTACCTCACAGGGTGTCTGTTGTGGGGAGAGGAGGAGAAAGGAGTCTTTAAGCTGCTCTGAGACTCTGAGTGAAGGGCGGGGTATAAATCCAATCTCTTCTTCTTCTTAAGGGTAAAAGAGGAGGACAGCCTAGAGAGGCAATCTGGCCACATGGCTCTTTGGAGTCCTCAAGCTCTATGGTTTTATTAATCTAAGGGTAGTTTAGGTTCTTCAACCCAGAGATCATCGTTTCTTAATGGTTATAACTAAAATTATAAATGGCAGCTACTTTGGGAGGTATAAGCTTGAGGGGACAGTTGGGAGGCCTACAGATGCATTTTGGCAGCTATTGCTTGAAAACTGTCTGAATGAAGCAGGAAACATTAAGGGCAGCATATGATTAAACTTTTAATTACTAGAACAGCAGGCCACTGCCAAACTCATACACTGAACCAGCCTTTCCTTGTTGCAGCTACACTTCCAATGCCAAGTGACTTTCCCCAAACCAGTCTCTGCGACCATAAGATAAAGCTGGGAATTCACAGGCTTCTCCATACTGCCCATACTAAAGCCAGTTAGAGTGCTGGATAAGGATCTCGGAGATCCAGGTTCGAATCCCCACTCTGACATGGAAGCTTGGTGGGTGAGTGTGACAATCCCCCTGGGCAAGGCTGCATTGCTCTTGCTCCACCACAACCTCCCCCTGCAATGGAGGACCCGCAAGGCCTCAGCCAGGAGAGGGGGGAAAGGGTTGCACCACCTTGTTCCTCCTCCTTTCCAGACCCTCTGCTCTTCCACTCTGCCTGAGCACGGGACGCTTCGTCCCCCCCTCCCCAGCCTGCTGCAGATTCTCCTTCAACGGGCCACCCTTCCAGTCCCCTCCCCCTGGCTTGCTCCTCCCCTCTAACCCTTCACCCAACCAGAAACGCCCTGAAGCCCTGTCTCAGCTGCAGCTGCCCCTCAGACAGGGCCTGGTGATGCGACTGGCTCCACCTGGCCGCCAAACTCTGTTCCTGAGCCTAAAGTCCCACCCCCACTTGTTCTGGATGCCTCCCGGCCTGGCTGCTGCGGCTACCAGTTATATTGGGTTGGTCTCAGCCAAGGTGAGTTGCCCCTGCAGGTCCAGGATTTGCCAGACAGTGAGCTGGAACCAGTCACACACTCTCAGCCTAATCTACCTCACAGTGAGGAGGATGTAAGCCACTCTGGAATCCGGATCCTCACTGGGGAGAAAGGCAGGGCAAAAATGAAGTGAATGAACACACAGAAATCGTAAGCTCTCTGGGCAGAGGGCACATGTGACTTCTGCACACCCTCCATGGTACTAGAGATCTCAAGCAACATAAGAACATAAGAGCTGCCAATGTTGGATCAGGCCAAAGGCCCCTCCAGTCCAAGCCAGAAATACCAGTGCCATCAGGAGGTCCACCAGTGGGGCCAGGACATTAGAAGCCCTCCCTCTGTTGACCCCCCCCCCAAGCACCAAGAAGACAGAGCATCACTTGCCCGAGAGTCCCTATCTATACCTTGTGGCTAATAGCCACTGATGGGCCTCTGCTCCATATGCTTATCTAATTCAACAGTCACATGAAGCCGGATTACGGTAACAAGTCAGCCTGAATATTGGGGTGCAGATCTAACACTGCTGAATAAGCCACAGGATACCAGTTAGCACCTCCGGCATAGGGTTCCCCCCCCCCCAATCCTGATTTAATAGCACATCTTCTAATGTCCTGGCCCCACTGGTGGACCTCCTGATGGCACTGGTATTTCTGGCCACTGTGTGATACTGAGTGTTGGGCTGGATGGGCCTTTGGCCTGATCCAACATTGGCGTCTCTTATGTTCTTATCTGCCCTGTGATCAACATTAATTTCCCTTTTGACCAGGGGCTGAAAAATGCATTTCAAATCCAAGTTAAGAAGAGAAACTTAGTGAGCTTCAACTATGTTAAGTACCAGTGTGGCTATGACACTAAACTATATGTTAAAGCCAAAAATGGAAGGGAATGGAAAATTCAAAGGGTAGGAGGCAGAAGAGGAAAGAAGCATATTAAGTATACTACTGGCTGCCAGACTCTTGATGTATAGTCCTAACACTGGCAAAGCACATTACGACATATCCTACAAGCTCCCAAAAAAGACAACAGCCCTTCTGGTATAACCTTCCTCTACAATCTGATTAATACAATTCAATACCGGCGTAATGCTGATTCTTACCTGCAAATGGAAGTAAAGATACCGGTTTGTGTCTAACAATTCCGGATGAAGGCTGTTGATTAGTGCGATGGCTTCCTGGATCTGACCTTTGAGGATCATCTCTCGGATTTTTATTCTTTCATCCAGGGTCTCTAAATCAACGCTGGGCTCAATCCCCGACTCCATTCGAAATTTCTCTGCTGCTTCTTTAAAGCCCTCTGAAATGTAAGAACCATCTGAGTATTATACGGCCACGATTGCGTCCTCAAGTTCACGCCCAGCACAATTGTTTAGAATGATTCGGTCTATTACAGCTCTGTCCCAAGACAGGCAAAACGGCAGGGAATTGGACATCGGCTGTGAGGCTTTGCGAACTACTTTGTGGATAAAGTTTTGCCATTCCTCCGTGATCTGCCCGCTACAGTTGATACAGTGAAGGGACTTGAGGCTCCAAGCGCGTCTTCTTGTCACATTTTGGATTATTTCAGCCCACTCAACCTAGAGGAAGTTGACAAATTGCTCCTAACTGTACGCCCCACCACATGCCTCCTTGACCCGTGTCCTTCGTGGCTAATTAAAGCTGGCCACAAGGGGTTCCGGGGTGCCTTGAGGGAGATTATCAACAAGTCCCTCCTTGACAGGCTGTTCCCGGAGGCACTTAAAGAAGCAGTGGTACGCCCCCTCCTGAAAAAGCCATCTTTGGATCTGGCCGAATTGGCCAACTATCGACCGGTTTCCAAATTGCCCTATTTGTTGTTTTGTTGTTGTTTTTTAATTTATTGATCGCTCAATCCTTGCAGAGTGGCCGGCTCTGAGCGATTTTACAGTTACTCATGTGTTGACACGGGACTAACAATGATGGGGGGTAAAGGAGGACAACATATATTATTTTTAATCACACACATTTCGCAGTCGACAGGGAGTTTGTTCAGCTGTAAGCATCAGACGTGTTCCGGCAGTATTTGGGCAAGATAATAGAGAAGGCGGTGGCAACGCAGTTACAGGGCTTTTTGGATGACGCTTCCATTTTAGATCCCTTCCAGTCCGGCTTTCGTCCGGGTCATGGGATGGAGACGGTTTTGGTTGCTCTCGCAGATGACCTCTGGAGGCATCTGGATCGGGGCAGTACTGCTGTTGTTAGACCTGTCGGCTGCATTCGACACGGCCGATCATCAGCTGCTGACCTGCCGCCTCACCGACATTGGAGTTCAAGGACTAGCCTTACAGGGGCTTGTTTTCTTTCTCCAAGATCGGGGACAAAGAGTGGTGCTGGGGGACCAGCCATCCCGAAGGCACCCATTGGAATGTGGAGTGCCCCAAGGGGCAGTGCTGTCCCTGATGTTCTTTAACATCTACATGCGCCCTGTCGCCCAGATTGCCTGGAGTATTGTCACCAATACTCAGATGACACCCAGCTCTATCTGTTGCTGGACGACCAATCCAACTCCAAACTGGAAGATCTAGACCAGGCGTTACAAGCTGTGTCTGGTTGGCTTAGACTGAGCAGGCTGAAATTGAATCCGACAAAGATGGAGGTCCTGTGCCTGAGTTGGAGTGGTCAGAGGGTAAGGCTCCCCACCTTCGATGGGGCGCCACTCGTGCCAGCACCGGAGGTTAGGAGTTTGGGAGTGCTCCTGGATGCCTCCCTAACAATGGAGGCCCAGGTAGCAGCCACTGCCAAGTCGGCCTTTTACCACCTTCGGCTAATTAGGCAGTTGGCTCCCTTCCTTGAACGCAATGACCTGGTGACGGTGATCCACGTGATGGTCACCTCGAGACTGGATTACTGTAATACCCTCTACATGGGGCTGCCCTTGTTGAAAACCCGGAAGCTGCAGCTGGTGCAAAATGCTGCAGTCAGGTTGCTGATGGGAATCCCAATCTGGGAACACATCCGACCTGTGCTGCAGGCATTGCACTGGCTGCCTATAGCATACCGGGTTCACTTCAAGGTGCTGGTACTCACCTTTAAAGCCCTTTATGGCCAGGGACCTGCATATCTGAGGGACTGCCTTTTGAGAGCCAGTTTGGTGTAGTGGTTAAGTGCGCGGACTCTAATCTGGGAGAACTGGGTTTGATTCCCCACTCCTCCACATGCAGCTGGCTGGATGACCTTGGGCAAGCCGTAGTTCTGATAAGAGCTGTTCTTGAAAACAGAGCAGTTTCTGTCAGAGCTCTCTCAGCCCCACCTACCTCACAGGGTGTCTGTTGTGGGGAGGGGAAGGGAAAGGAGTTTGTAAGCCGCTCTGAGACACCTTTGGGTAGTGAAGGGCGAGGTATAAATCCAATCTCTTCTTTTTCTTCTTCCCCATATACGCCCCAGAGGACGCTGAGATCTGGGACCCAGAATCGACTGGCTCTCCCGAGCATCAAGGAGGCCAGATTGGATTGGTTGCAACTAGGGCCAGGGCATTTTCGGTGGCGGCTCCTTTCTGGTGGAACGCGCTCCCAGAAGAGACCACGGCCCTGCGGGACCTCTCACAGTTCCGCAGGGCCTACTAAATAGAGCTCTTCCGCCGGGCTTTTGGAGCCGCCACCACCTAATACTCCATCACCAGCAATTAATAGCTATGCTGGTTGAACCCTGACCCACCTGTCCCCCACACACTGCCCGTGCCAATCACCTAAGATAGCCGAAGAAGACCGAAGAGCCGACCGTAAACTGAGGATATTGCTAGCACTTTATTATGTTTTACCATGCTGAATTTTTAATATTGTATGTATATTAAGTCACGTGATTTTATGCTTTGTATTGTCTGGTTTTATTCTGTTGTAAGCCGCTCTGAGCCGGCCTAGGCTGGAAGGGTGGGGTAGGAACCTAATAAATAAATAAGAACCCGATCGCTTAGCCACCCCTCCCCAAAAAAGAAGAAAGAGCACGCAACCAAAGTATTTCATGCCAGCACTCTGGTTTCTGAAACCATAAAGGTAAAAATTAAGAGGTACAACCTCAGGGTCTACGTCCCTCTACAGTGATCTGGGAAGTGGACTGCACTCACTAAAGGCATCAGACACCCTAATATTTATTCTACTATGAATGTGCATGAGTCAGAGTTCACTTTATCAGATACATAGGTGTTTTGACTCACACAAACTTATCTTAGAATAAAGTTCTGTTAATTTTTAAGGTTCCACTAGACTACTGCTTTATTTAGCTGCTAATCTGGATAATTTTACATATGGGGTCATACTGCTTAAATCGCACATTCTGGATGATTTTCCCAGAACATTCTAGCCCTTCCTAAGATCCCAGCCAAAGTCATCTGGATCAAAGACCAATAAGTACTTCATGCAACCATGGTCACCAACATATCCTATACCTACATTATTTCCTAAATTACAATTTTTACCAAAACTTGTTTGGAGTTTAATGATTACATATACGGCCCAATCCTGAACATGGTTACTCAGAAGCAAGACTTATTCAGGCTGTTCAGAAGCAGCATGTTGTCTGTGAGGTACCTCCCCAGGCCAGTCTTTTTGGGAAAGGAAAAAAATCTCTTATGCTTACCCACAGCTGTGTAGGCAAGTCTTGGAAGTTCAACTTAGTTTTTAGACACTTAGAATGATTTAGGAAATAGTTCTTTACACAGCAAGTGATTAAAAAGTAGAATTCACTTCCAGAGTATGTAGTGATGGCCACAGGCATAGACAGCTTTAAAAGGGGACTAGACAGATTCACTGAGGATACGTCTATCAGTGGCTACTAGCCATGATGACTAAAGGGAACCTCCATGTTCAAAGGCAGTCAAGCTCTGAATCCCAGTGCCAGCAGGCAACATCAGGGAAAGGCCTCAGTCTTTATGCTCAGTTGTTGGCCCTCCAGAGGAACTGATAGGCCATTGTGTGATATAGGATGCTGGAACAGATGCAGGGCTCTTCTGATGTTCTTTTGACTTCCCTACAGAACAAGTTATTAAAACCCAGCATTAAAAACCACATTATGCTTAAATAACACACCATGGTTAAATTCATCCCCAAGGTACGCTAGACCGTGCTGCTTAGATAGCAGTTCAGGAGACATCCGCAAAGTGTGTAATACGTTACTGTTAGGGTCACTGTAGATAAAATAAGTTTTTAAGCAATTCATTGCTAATTACCTGTAACAAGATAGTTCATAATCAGGCGGTTCATGTCGGCTCTCTGGATGTGTAAGTTATTGAGCTTTTCCATCCACTCGTCTTTCGTGATTTCATCGGGTTTTTCTGCATAACTCATTCTTGTCCCTCACTGGCAAGAAAAAGGGGATTGAGAACTGAGCAAAACTAATGAAAGAAAATAGACATTTATAATGATTCTAGAAGAAAGGTAAATAATTATACTCTTACTGTCCCGAGATAGCGTGCATCATTGACAGTGACTAAACATGATGAACTGAATATCCCTTCTGCTATCTATCACAGAAGCAGACAGTCATATTCTCCATGTTACTGCTGATCACAGAGTCATTAGAGATCAATCTTCAGCTGTCATGGATAGATGAACTATTGCACACTGTACCATGATTTTTTAAACTGGTTCTACAACAACTTTATAGCAAACAATGTTCCCTCTAAGCTGAGTTAGTGTGAGCTAGTTCACATTTTTTTAGCCTCTGGCTCACACATTTTTGTCTTAGCTCAGGAAAGAGGGCTCCAGAGCAAACTAATTTATGCAGTAGCCACATCGCTTGCTCACAACTTTAATGTCAGTAGCTCACAAAGTAGAATTTTTGCTCACAGGGAGCATTCATAGCAACGCATTTGCATTTTTAAGTTACAGAGCAAGGACATTTTAGGTGTGTTTGCATGCAGAAGGTCGATGGTTCACTCCACATCATCTACTGAAATGCCTCCCACACCATACGGGAAACACCTCTACCCAGGACCTTGGAGAACCACCACAATCAACACAGTAATTAAACAAACAGCCATGTGGCAGAAGTGAACATGGCCTAACTTTTTTGCACACTAAGGTTTTCCTGCCATTCCTGTTCATGTGAACTCAAGCAGCTTTTCCAGCTGACTCAGTTTAGAAAAGGTGCATGGAACAAGACAGAGAACTGACTATTTAGTTTAGAAATTGGAAGAAAACAGAAAGGGCAGTAACAAAAGAAGTTTCTAAACGTTTGAACAGATCTAGCCTGCAATCCCAAATATACCTGCACTCATTGGGAATTACTTCCAAGAAAAGAATGCATGGATTCAGACTATCAGCTGTGCTGTTATAAACAGGTTCACTACCTCCACTTCCTGTTTCTAAATTAGCATCATTAGCCTATGATGATGATGGCTTTGCTGCAAGAGTGAAAAACAAAGGGCCTCTCAACCTAGCCTACTTAAATGGAATACTCTGATCAAAGGGGCCCCGTGTGTTTGTGTGCACGTTAAATCGAATTAAATAAATAAATAAATAAATATCAGAAATGAAATTAAACAGAAATTGGTGGCTAAATTCAAAGGAATATAATCATTCAATGAATTAGTTGTCATTACTTCAGCATGAGAGGCCATCCGCCATTTGCCTCCATGAACCTCACTTTCTCTTTGGAGGACACCATGTTTTATGTTTCCCCAGTTTAAGACAAACACCTCTCCCAGTTTAAGACAAACACCTCTCTTAAACACAATTGCACCAAAATCATCTCAGCAAAGTCTACTTTGTATTCCAAAGATAACAAGGAAATTGCTATGGAGAAATTTAGGTCCTAAACAACTTCGAATGATAGAATCATAGAGTTGGAAGGGGCCATACAGATCATCTAGTCCAACCCCCTGCCCAATGCAGGACCAGCCTAAAGCATCTCTGAACTCATCAGGCACTTTTTGCGGATAAGGATCAAATCTGTCCATTAAAGCCAAAGGGCTTGTTCTGGAGGCTGTGCTAGACACTCCCATTCCTCTCTCTTCCATTTGATGGTCAAATTATTAAAATGGAAGAAATTGATTAATCCCAGTCTAAACTCTCACTGGAATTTAATTTAGTTCAGACGTTAGACCTCCTTTTAAAAATTCAGATATTACAGTGTACAGACATTATACTGTTTTTTAGACTTCTGGTTGATTCTAAAATCTAAATCCTATTTCATTGTTTATTGAATGTCCCACTTTGTGGATTGTATTGACTCACTCTTGTGTAATCTACCTTGAGTCCAAGTGAAAAAGGAAAATTATAAATTACGTAAATAAAATTTTAAAAATAGTGAATGCACATACTACCTCTGCACATTGTATGCAATTTTTCTTTTTACACATACTGCATAATTCTTACATTTTATTTAACTCATATGGCTGAATGCACAATTTAACCCACATTTATCCAGGTACTGGTCATCGGTTTTATTTTTAGAGCCAAACATGTGTTTGTTGGCTCTTTCTTAGTTATAAGCATGCTCACTGTAACATATGCAAAAGGACTAGTGACAAGCCCTATACACATCACAGGGAATGCATCTATGTCCTGCATGTATGTGTGTTCACCTTAAAAATAAAACTGAGGATCAGTACCTGAATAACCATAGGTATAAATCAAACACATCAAAAAACATGCATTTAAGAACATATATAAGAACATAAGAGAAGCCAATGTTGGATCAGGCCAAAGGCCCATCTAGTCCAACACTGTCACACAAGTGGCCAAAAATACCAGGTGCCATCAGGAGGTCCACCAGTGGGGCCAGGATACTCGAAGCCCTACCACTGTTCCCCCCCCCGCACCAAGAATACAGTGCATCACTTGCCCTGGATTCCCTATCTATACCTTGTGGCTAAGAGCTGAAGTTTCTTTTACAACATGTTTAGCACACAAAGGATAAAGAGGGCATAAAATACTAGGCTACTAGGATAGAGAATACTTCTCCTCTCCCTTAATTTTATATACACACATACATAAGGATCTAATAAAGGAATTCGAGTCTATGAATTTGATGGTTTACATTATTTGTGTTATTCCTCAGTGAGAAAGGCAATGCAGTCCATTGGATGGCATACTTAATAAGCAATTTAATAGGACTAGGAATTGCACACATTTGAAACGAAGCTGTCATGTGAACAAAGCACATTAAAGAGTCCATGTCAAATGATGCTGGTCACACTATTTACTTTTTAAGCCTTTACAGTGCCTAAGCAGAGTTCCACTGTTCTAAGCCCACTGACTTCCCACAGGGTTAATATAACATAAGAAAAGCCCTGCTAGATCAGACCACTGGTCCATCTAGTTCGGCATCCTGTCTCACATAGTGGCCAACCAGTTCTTCTGGAGGGCCAACAACAGGGCACAGAAGCTAAGGCCTTCATAGAAACATCAGAAGAGCCCTGCTGGATCAGACCAGCAGTCCACCTAATCCAGCATCCTGTCTACCAGCTCCTCTGGACGGCCAACAACAAGGCATAGAGGCAGAGGCCTTCATAGGAACAGAAGAGTCTCGCTGGATCAGACCAGTGGTCCATCTAGTCCAGCATCCTGCCTCACACAGCAGCCAACTAGTTCCTCTGGAGGGCCAACAACAGGGCACAGAGGCCGAGGCCTTCCCCTGATGCTGCCTCCTAGTTCTGGGATCCAGAGGCTTAGTGCCTCTGAAAGTGGAGGTAAGCCTCAGTCACCACGGCTAATAGCCACTGATAGACTTATCCTCCACGGATCTATCTAAATCCCCTTTGAATGCTGTTTATTCCTGCGAACGTAACTCTGCTTAGGATCTGGCCGCTGATGTGACTTGCTGCAACAGAATCGCACCTCTGGGGAAGAGAAAAACAAAAACTGTCACTGGCCCGTAAGCCCGTATTAAACGTGTTTGTTTCTCGAGACCAGTGTCCCCTCTAAGCTGAGTTCGTGTGAGCAAGCTCACAGTTTTGGGGCCTCCGGCTCACACATTCTTGTCTTGGCTCAGGCAGGAGGGCTCCAGAGCAAACTAACCGATGCAGCGGCCAAATCGCTCGCTCACAACTTTAATGCCCGTAGCTCCCAAAGTGGAATTCTTGCTCACAAGACTCCACGGCTTAGAGGGAGCATTGCTTGAGACCCGAGACCAGTGTTCCCTCTAAGCTGAGTTATTGTGAGCCAGCTCACAGTTTTTTAGCCTCCGGCTCACACATTTTTTGCCTTAGCTCAGGAAGGGATGGCTCCAGAGCCAACTCATCGATGCAGCGGCCAAATCGCTGGCTCACAACTTTAACGCCGGTAGCTCCCAAAGTGGAATTCTTGCTCACAAGACCCCACGGCTTAGAGGGAGCATTGCTTGAGACCCGGCAACCAGTGTTCCCTCTAAGCTGAGTGAGTGTGAGCCAGCTCACAGTTTTTTAGCCTCCGGCTCGCACATTTTTTGCCTTAGCTCAGGAAGGAGGGCTCCAGAGCAAAGTAATGTATGCAGTAGCCAAATCGCTCGCTCCATACTTGAATGCCAGGAGCTCACAAAGTGGAATTCTTGCTCACAAGACCCCACGGCTTAGAGGGAGCAATTGCTTGAGACGCGGGACCGGGGGCGCGCAGGCACAGCCAGAGGGCGAGCGGCGTGACAGCAGCAGCAGCAGCAGCGCCTCCCGAGCGCCTGAAGGCGGAGACGGAGGAGGGAGCGTCAGAGCCGCAGAGGAGCGCCCAGCGGAGGAGGAGGAGGAGACGGGGCTC